GCACATTGTCAAAATTTATTTAAAAAAATGTTTGGACTCTTTGGATTTTTATTTGATAAAGAAATTTTTTGTAGATGATGTACCTCCACCGGGTTCGTATGACCCCAGGTTTGAAAGTAAGGTGCGGGGTCTAGTTATTGAAAAGTCAGAAAGATTTCACGATAACAAAAGCACGGACAGCGCCGAATGCAATTTGTCAGTTTGCACCAAAAGCACGGGCAATATAGTGGCCAATTTTAGAACGGTAAGAAATTAAGAATAATATGAGAGTAGTTTATAATTGATGAATTGTCGAAATATGTGATGAATGAACAGTTAAAAAATTGATGTACTTTTTTTTAGAAGATATTTGAATTTCAATAACAATGTGTTTTTAGCCGCAACTACCACGAAAAAAAGACCGAGGTCACACCTCGAAGTCATGTACGAAAGTAAAACTGCGTGCGCTTATTTCTGTCAACGACCAAAAGTTGAAGTACGAATCTAAGCATCAGATCGCAGATCTTCAAGTAGAATGTTCGAACAAAGATAGGACTATAGAGGAGCAGGAAAAACACATCGAGAACATGAAGGTGGAAGTACGGAAATTAGAGTTACAAATCGAGGAATTACGTAAAAAGCAAGCGGAAGTAGAAGAGCAACACCGGAAGGATATAGAAACAATGGTTGTAAATCATTTTTACAATGTGCAGTACGATTTTATTTCTGATTCTTACTTATAATTTCTTTGTATAGGCCAAATTGCAGCAAGAAGTATTAAATGGTCATGACGAAAAGCATCAAGCTGAAATCGAACATCTTCGTTGTCACCTGTTGGAGGTTTCGGAGGAGAAAGAGCGCGAAATTGAAGCAAGAAGAATCATGGAAGGAGATCTCAGAAGTCGCATTACAGATTTCTCAAAAAGAGTAACTGCGTTGGAATCTGAATTAGCCAACAAAAAATACAAAAATGTAGAAAATGTAAATGCATGTTACTTTTAACCAGTTAGTTATGGAAAATACATTAACTTCATTTAAATTTTTCAATTTTTGTTTTACTTTTTTTTTTTTTTTTGGTATAGATTCAGTCTCTCGAAACAGAAATTGAAGAACTAGTAACAAAATTAGAGAGAGTTAAGGAAGATTACAAACATGAAGTCAACTTATTGGATGAAGAAAAGTCAAAACTTAATTTGTGTATCATTAATATAACTGATGAACGTGATAAATTGGAGGTGAAGTTACAAAAACGACAGAATGTAATTCTTGAACTTCAAGCACAATTATCAGCTCTTCAATGCGAATTAGATGAATTAAAAGCTGAATATGAGAAACTTCTTGAAGATTATTCAATACAAATGGACGATGTTCGATATAAACACCAAGAAGAAATTAATAAATTAACTACGGATTTTGAAAAAGAAAAAGTGACTCTTAGAAATGAAAACGACTTTGAAATATCGCGTAAATTAGAAATCGAAACCAAAGCAAAAGATGTTGAAGAAGAAAATAATTTTCTCAAGGAAGAGCTAGAAGATATCCAAAGACTTTACAAAGATGTAAATACTTAACAATATTCTTGAATTTTAAAGTAGTGGAAAGAAATACTTATCTCTTTCTATTGTATAATGTAGGTTAATAATCGTTTATACGAAGCACATCAAGAATTAGAAGAATCGGATAGAAAACATAACCTTGTTTTGAAGAAACAAAAAGAAGACTTAGCTGACATAATAAAACTTCATGATGATGAAACATTTAAACTGAAACAACAATTGGAGAATGCAAGACTGGATTATTTGAAGGAAATAGAAAACGTATGTAAAGCGATTCATGTTTTTATATACATTTTATTCTAAATATAAAGAATATTTATATTTTATTTTCTGTCATAGAATTACCTATTCACAAAGTATCATTTATTGTTTTCTGTGTAGCTGTCAATGGCAAGAGATAAAGAGATAGTGGAATTAAAAGAAGTTGCTGCTAAAAAGGTTGAAGAAGAAACGAAGCGAATTAAGCAACACGCTGAAAAAATGGTAGAAAATGCAGAAGCAGTTACCAGAGAAACGTTGGCAGCTTGTCGTACGGAATGCGAGGAAAGAGTTAAAAGAGTGATAGCCGAAAGCGACGCGAAAGTAAGCGGGTCCCACGTGCGTAAAATAAAACCATCACTGACTGAGTGCTTCTTTCTAATGTTTGAATACAAAATTTTATTTACTATATCAGACAGCATAGAAAAAAGCATGATATATTTAAAGAATTTTTATTGTGCACACTTTATTTCTCTTCTGGAATTTTCTCAAATTTTCTATTTTTCATTTTCTGTGATGTTTGCCGAATACATTGTGCTCTCTTGCGAGAGTACTCGTGTATAATGTTTTAAATGAACGTATTAATGTAGGTAAACGCTATGATCAGAAAAGCAAGATCTACTGTAGAGAAAGAAATGCGACTCAGTGCGGAAAAGTATAAAGCATGTTTAGCGCGGGTACAATTGGAACGAGCAGCATTGGATGAAAAACTAGTGCAGAAGAATGCTGAAATTACCAGAGTTTCCGTGATCCTTGAAGACTTAAAGTCCTCTGCAGAAACACAAGTGAGTATTATAACGTATTTAAAAGTGAAGATTACACTTTACAAAAGTGCGCTTTATGTTAATAAAATATTAAATTGAAAACATTGTTTCAAAATGCTCGATTAATAAAATTTAGGAGAGTTTTGGTCAAAGTTTGCAAATGGAATTAGATCGAGCAGAAACTGAATTAGCGGAGAAAAAAGAAGAATTAAGAGCTTTGAAAGATCAAATTCGAACAGAAGCCGGAGAGATGGTAGCTAGAAAAAAAAGGTACTTTACCATTTTTGTGTAAATAAATATATGTACATGTATAAATATGTACATATACTCAATGAGTCTCTTAGCATGACCATTTCAAATATCAAGTAAATTATTTGCTGTACGAAAAAATGTTTCAGACAAAAGTTGCGTGATTTTCTTGGGGGACACGCAGTACCGTAATCGATTTTTGATTTCTTTGCTTTTTTATTGAGATATGAAGGTCACCTTTAGTTTTTTAAATGGAATGCCTAACATTTCTTCTGGAATTTCGATAAAATATCGAATTCTACGTAAAATAGTGTTACATGAAATAGGGTCTAAAATGAATACTTACTGAGATTGTGCGTATTTTTTTATTTACATCTCCGCGATTTGTAAATGTTCCTTCGTCAGAACATAAAACGGTCTGTACAAATGTACCATTGGTATATCGCATCTGATGCAGAAACCATTCACAAAATTCAACGCGATTTTCAAAGTCTCGTCAATGTAGCTCCTGATGTACTGACAAGTGATACGGATAGAACATCTGAAAATGAAGAATACGCACAACATTACTGTGACAAACGCCCGCTGCTAAGGTAGAAGTAGTACAACTTTCTTCATCATTCACAATTTTTTTGATGTTTACGTTTTTTTGTGTTAAAATTGCCAGCTTCTTCAAACATTTAATTAAGCGTTAGAAAGGTCGATTGCGATGGTTGATTCCGGTCCGGATACTTAGCTTCGTATATCTTAGCTCTCGTAGCATTTTCATCGTACGCACCATTAACTATTATGATATCATATTTTTCACTTTTACTGAACATTGTAACAAAAGTAATACTTTTCTCAATAAGACTTTTACGTTTACCGTGCTTAATAGGTATGTATCTTATGTTAATAATGTGTAATATCTAACAAGGAATATGTTTACAAACGTGATCTGTCGTCCTAAACAAAGTCGTATTAACAGTCACGTTGACTGAACTTTTTAACGTAGAATTCGATGTTTTATCCAAATTCGAGAAAAAATGTTAGGCATTCCATTTCAAAACCAGGAGGTGTACTTCATATCTCGATAAAAAAGCAAACAAATAAAAAATCGATTACGGTATTGCATGTCTCCCAGAAAACCACGCAACTTTTAAGTAGTTTACGAGATATTTGAAGTCTTCGTGTTACGAGACTCACCCAGTATATCTATATAAGAATTTATGAAATATATTGTCTAGATTTGAAGTTATAATGGCAGAGAATCAAGCATCGGTTGCTGCCTTATCTAAACGTTTAGCCCAAAGCAATGCTGAAGTGGAAAGATTGCAATATGCATTAAAACGTGGTGAAGATTGTATTAACGAGCACCGTGATTTATTGAGTATTATGAGTAACAATTCGCAAATGGTACACGAACAAGTGCATGCTCTAATGGAACAATTGGATGCTACAAAAGGATTATTCGATCAAATCGAAGCTGACAGTATAAAAGAAGCGAAATCAATAAAATCTATATTCGAAGCTAAAATCGATGATTTAAAGCAAATAACAACGAGACAAGTTGCAAAGCTGCAAGCTGACTATGATGCCAAAACTTCTCAAAATGCTGAGGTACCTTTTATTGTTGTTCTTTTCAGTTTGGAATGATTAAAAATTTTATTATAAAATATTATTTCTGAAAATATAAAAGAAATCATTATTTAATGTAAAACTAGATGAAGAATCAACTTCATGAAATGGCTAATCATCTAGCCGAAGCACAAAATATGCTGCTGAAACTGGAGGAAAGGAACGATATTCAAGAGCTCGAAATTTCTCGGATAGAACTGCTTAATGACAAACTGAATGTACAGCTGAAAGAATATGAAGCTACTGTGGAAGACAATAAGAAGTTGTTAGAGGAACAATCGAAGACACATAAAATTGTTTTAAATGAGGCATGTTAAAAAATTCCGATATCGCATTGCTTTTTACACTTAAGAAAGTAGGAATCTAATTAGTTTTATTTAATATTTGCAGGCAAATTCTAAAATTCAAGAACTTTGTGAAAAAATTAAATGTCTTGAAGAGGACGATAATCGCAAACAGGTAAACTGAAGTATTTTATTTTTACACTTTAGGTATATAACAAAATAATAAATGTATAAATTAATATATTTATTATTGTGTAATTTACGAAGGAAAATGTTGAGTTATTCGAAGAAGAACTAAACGAGCAGGAAGGTTTCGAAAAGGCGGCGATCATGGAAGAGCTCGAAGAAGAAAAAGCACGTCGAGAAGCGGCCGAAGAGTAAGTTTTCCTCGTACAAATTACCTCTTTCATAAAGTTATGTGGTTACAGTGTAATAAATCTACTTTTATCCGCTTAGGGAAGTAAAAAAACTTACCGAACATAACGAACGCCTCAAAAAGGATTATCAAGAGATTAGTGAAAAATATGCTGAAGTAGTTGGTCATCATAATCCCAGGCAAAGAATTAAGCATGTGTCTCAGCTGAAAGATAAAATCCACCAGCTCGAGCAGGTGCGTTTAATTATTCATATTGGACTCTCGATCGTTTTATGTTGGGTGTGGGATATTTACGAATGTCATCATCGCGGTATCCATATTTTTAGTATCCAATATTTATTCCACAAGTTACTTAATGAAAATGTTATTTAAAATTCTGTTCATATGTATTGCATGTTAATGTGCAACAACAATTTTATTTGTGTTATTATTAACCGTTTGACGACCGGATGACGAATGCTGAGTCAAATATGAGCCAATGTTAAAATCTTTTGCGTACTCAAGCCAAACCACATTTTTCTCATTTTAACTGGTACATATTATATTATGTAAAATTGTACAAATATATTATGATTAAAATAACAAACATATTGATAATATAAGAAGAGAATGTCGGATAAAACAAGAGGCGTCTAAAAGATGGGTTAGCAGTGACCCGGCATCCGCCATCCGAATGTTAAAAAATAATTAATCAGTGATATGGTTTAAGAAATTTATTCAACTTTTTGTTTTTTTTTCACGTTGCATGAAAATATATTTGTTGTTGTTTCTGCCTGAATTACATTCAAGCCAGTACTTTATTGTTTAACTATTTTTTGGTTAATGTATTTTATTTATTTGTTAAGGTGATAGGTATATATACGTTTTATGAATGTATATATTTTGTTGACAGCAGTAGGTGTATATAAATAAATGTTTTTGTTTCGTAAAAATATTTACTCGAATTTCTTAATTAGTTAACCCAGTTACTAATTCTGTATTAAAAATATATAACTGCATAATGTTTGCTAATTATATAAAATCAACTTGATAAAACAATATATTTTTTTTTAGGATTTGCATGGAAAAATAAGGACGATAGAACAGCAACAGAAAGTTATAGAAAAATTAAGAGCAGAAGAAATACGTGCGCATAGCAAAGGGAAAGAAAATATGATAGGAATTCCTAAGAGTTCTCATACGACACCTGCTTCTTCTCCACATAAACCTTTAACGCCTCTGAGGAATCGAAACAATTAATCTTAGTAAAGACATATTGTTTGTTTATAATTGCCATAAACGCACATTGATAAAAGTTATTAATTTAATAATTGTTATATAATTACGCATGCAGTAATTCCTATAAATATATACTTTAGTAGCGAGGTTCGTAGCATCTTTTATTAGTTTTGACTAGCATATTTTATTAGTTTTGGCTCAGTATCCAGTGAACTTAGTTACTATAGTATGTATTTATATTTATAACATATTAAATCTGACAAACTTAATATCGGATTTTACGTCAAATCAAATGTTCAGTTTGATAGGTTCCGTTAAAAGACTGTGATATTAATGTTTAGTTGTAAAGTTTATATCTTTAAGCAATATTGATGTTATGTTTTCAACTGATCTGGTTCGAAGGATTAGTGGAGATCAGGGGTGTGCGAGAACTCGAAAATGTCGGGAACCCGGGTCGGGTCGGGTCCGGTCGGGTGCCGAAAGTATTTCAGAAGCCGAGAATTTCGGGATTCTCGAGAATTATAAAATTATAAGAAATAAAACATGGAACGAAAATGGTAAGCAAATATGTGATAGATATTATTTATTTCATATTTTCGTGGAGAAAATCTACTTTTGCAACGTTCCCCGATAATAGTTTTGTTCTACTTTCGGCAGAATTATTATGAATGCATGAATTATGAATTTCTTGATTCCAGTATTTTATAATTTAGTACTTTTAATATAATTGCATCAAAATTAATTTCTTTTATTAAAAATTGTTTTGGGAATATTTTTATTTATTTTAAAGAAAGGGGTAATTTTTTTGATAATGGAAATTCTGAATAAATTCGTGTTGAAACCAGTTACCTGTGTTATGTCACACTTCACGGGTACCAAAATACTTTATCGGCTGTTGTCGCGCTTGCATGTTCAGTAATGGAAATGTTATCGGCTGCTCTCGCAACCATGTGAGTTTATGAATCCGAAAATTATAACTTTATTATCGATATTTCGGTTTTTCTTGTCATGCAAAAATAATTCTATTTATTACTGGTTCAGTTATCTATTTTATTCATATTACTTTGTTTATTAATTTAAGAAAATTTTTATAAATGAAGAACATAAATAATTTTTTCTTATTTTTAAAGTGAATAAATTATATGTTGAATGCGTAATATCAATTTTACACTAAAAATGCTAGGATCTTGCAGACAATTTTTCATCACAAAACTAGAAACGAAACAGAATTTTTACATTAGAAAAGCTTTATTGGATGTAGTATAGCTACAAATATCATAAAATACAATAAAGGTACAAAACATTCCACGTTTGCAGAGTAAACATAAAAAAATAAATTAAAATACTTGCATTTCCCAGAATTGGAAATTTGTGACATTTATTTTAATATAATATTACTGCTTATAAATTTTGACATTGATCGAAAAGAATTGTAGCCGGAACCACGATCCTATTGGAGCAATAATTTTTTACTTTAATTTTCCTATTTAATTACCATACTGGAAAGGTTGAAGATCGTAAACGCTTTTCTGCATATACAATATATGCTATGGGACGAAATTATGAGACAATCAAAGTTTTCTAATATATTATTATTTTTAAATTTCGGTCACGGACGCCGGGTCGATCTCGACCCAGAGTAATACAACTCTTATAAACATGTCAGAAGGAAATCTTAAATTGTATTTTTCATTGATGCTATGCAAAACATTACTTCTCTCAACTTTGAAAACAAATAGTCAATGATAAAACGATTTTCAAAAATTAATTTATTTTACAATGTAGGAACCTAGATACATATAGTGGTAAAGAGTAAGAAAAATACGCAAAGTGCAAACAAACAATTTATTCTAAAAGTACACAATGGACACATAGAATATTTTTTTCAATTTTTGCATGAGTATTACATATACAGGGTGAGTCTAGTAACTGAGCTGGACTATAACTCTGTTCCTATTGAAGATAGAGATAAATTACAGAGCAAAATTTTGCATTGCTTAACTAGCCATCTTCGCATAGTGCGTTCGTATGTATGTACGTTCTGCAAAATGTTTAAAGAAGTTGCTTGTACTTACATATTGACTTACAACTTTGACTTCTTTTTTGTTTTAAAAAGAAATTCAATTTTCGCCTAAGAAATCTTCAACTAGCAGCGTTTCATCAATTTTCGATAGTTTGCAAAATTCTAGGTACACACGTACCTTCCCAAAACAATTTCATTTAAATTCTTTCAAATAATTCCGATACTAGTAATACTTATTACAGATCCTTGTTTAATGCAGTTAAACAAAATTCTAAAAAAAGGTTTAGTGACAAATCCCTAAGTTTATTTAGAATGTCAGCATAGTCCCAAGGGATATAGATAAACTGTAAATATTCATAGGGTGTACGTAAATTTTTATGACTGACTGTAGATCTTCAAAATTCAGTTGACAATAAATCGTGTTAATGAAAATTTACAAAAAAGTTTTTATTCGATAAAAAATATAGATCGCTACAATTTTTTTAAATGAAACCATATATTTTTTTCATGTGCCAATCAATGCATGAATTCTCTTCAAAAAAGTATTAGAGAACTTAGGTCGAAAATTGATTAATTTAGAAATTATGATTTTTGTCCCGAACGCCCATATACTCGAAACACTGCGTCTCACCGAGATTCAAAGGGAATCTCCTAATTCTTACTCATGCGCTCAGGTTGCTCGAGCGTCACGTGGTGACGTAGATAATGGTGGAAAGAGCCGAACAGGCTTCGCACACAGCCAGAGCTACCGCTACACTTGTGTGAGAGCACGAGGACGGTATAGTGGGAGACGGCGGTAGGTCATAGTGGGGGGTCCACGGCCCACAATTCTGGCATCACTGGTTGGAACACCACGGTTGACGCGCAACCAAAGAAGAATGGCTGATTTCAATCAAAAGAAATCCAACAAGGCACCTCTGCCCGAAAGCTGGGCCGACAACAGAAGACCAATCGCGGAAAACCGCAGGCTCAAGAGGCAAAGGCCAAGGAAATAACCGATTCCGCGGAGATGACCGCTGGCGTAGTAAAGGCTCAAAAGGAAGTCATCACCAACGAGTCTCTTTGGCAAGACGGTCCTTATTCCGGCACACATCCAAGACGATGGACCTATACCCAAAATCCAGATTTTTAAACAACGGTAAATGCTGAAAACAGGTATGCACATGAAGAAAGCCCATTAAAGTATTCAGTTTATACATTGTGGCAATCGAGATTTTTTCGTTACGACTAAACGTGTTTCAGAATAACGGCTCGACCAGCAGTAAATAAGTGTATAGGGGAAACGTGTGTACGAACTACGAGTATGCAAGTGAGCGTGTACAGCGAAACAATACGACAGTGTGAACGAGAATGCAAGTGTGCGAATTATCTAGGGGGAGTATATGACGCATAGTAGTGAAACAAAAAAACCTAGCGAAAAAACACTTGAATTTGTCGTTGCGTCTGTGTGAAGCTGCGCTCGCGCGATCCATGATAAACCATACACGGTCTACGTAACATTTTGCATCGTTGATTTGCGGGCGTATCCTAAAATTCACCATCGATACCGACGACACACACTTGTCGACCCGTGACACGTTTCTACGAAGCGTAAAAAAAAAAACTGAAAAGTGAAATGATAAACTGAAATGAATTTCTTTTATGATTGATGGGAAGAATAGCCCGAAAAGAACTTCCAATATCCGAAAAGAATCGACGTGCCATACTTGAATTTGCAAAAAAATCATATTTCATGTTATGTTGTCTAAAGTTATGTTTACCGACGAAAGCAAGTTTAACCAATTTGGTTCTGAAGGAAAATCCTACGTGAAACGCAAACCTGGTGAATAATTTAATAAAAATTGTACAAAACCAACCGTCATGGTGGTGATGGATCAGCACATGTTTGGGGCTGTATGAGAATGAATGGTACTGGTTCAATACATCAGATTACAGGAATTACGGATCGTTTTGCTTATTTATATATAACAAAAAATGTTCTTCCATTTATTAAAGACAAAATGCCTAACGATTGGATTTACCAGGCGGATAACGATCCGACGCATACGGCACGTGTTGTAAAAGATTTTTCATAAAAGAAAAATTAAATATGAAATGGCCTGCTCAGTCCCCAGATCTCAATACAATAGAGATGCTGTAGATTAATGTTGATCATGAAATAAAATGTCAGAAACCAAAAAATATTCAAGATTTGTATGAAACAATCAAAGAAACTTGTAAATCCATTCCAGTTAACAGGTATATTCATTTAATTAATTCTATGCCACGATGTTGTGCTGAAGTCATCAAAAATAATAGGAGAGCTACAAAATAATGTTTAATAATGTTTAGTATTATTTAGTCCTTCCAAACCAGTAATAAACCAATAAAATCTTTGTCGAAAATTGTGTTTGTAAGTATGTATCGCCAAAACTTATAACAAGAAATATTGTTAATCTATTTTTTTGTACTTGCTATTAATTTATAATAAAATATATGTATCCACAGAACATAAATTGTGTTATTTATACTTAAAATATAAAAACATGATTTACGTCCATTGGATTGAAAAATGTAATGGAAGATTGAAAATGACTATATTCATAAGTATATATCCGCCACAGTATGCTCCCCTTAATTTACAAATAATTTAAATTGTCAAGTTAGTTACCTCACTTTGTATATCTAATAGTAATTTAACTGAAATAAAAAGATTTGTACCGTTTATTTTATTAGAAAGATGACTTTAAATATTAATTTATTTTACATTACGTATAAACAAATGTAAATAGTGATTAAAATACAACACTTTTAACAATGGTTCAAGCTCCAATTTAAATTTATTTAAGAGCTCAAATTGTTGTTCATACGAATCCTAGTTTTTAATTTTGATAAACAAGTAGAAAGTTCTTTTTGCAATATATACAAAAAATGATTTCGTATAATTATCCTTTTACTTGAATAATAAGCTGAAACAGATCAATTATTCCTCACTGAGAAACGAAAT